TATATATATACACATATATATATATACATATACCTTCAACACACGATTGTTCTTGTCCGGCATGAGGTGCATTACTGATCCCACTCGTGAGCCCCAGATAGGAATGGTCGCCAAAGGAAATTGTATCAAAGTCAGCCACAGGATATCAACTCCAGTCAGTACGGGGGGAAACAGAAACAGCGCATTCAACACCATCAAGAGACTGATCGCCAGATTGGAACCTACAATGTAAACAAATGGAGAGGTGTGAAAATATTGACAGGCTAAAGTTGGATGGTTCTGTGTGCGAGATTTTGTAAATCTTGAAATTAGTGAAAGGGAAAAGGTTATAGAAGAATGCGACCGTGATACTTGTGTGTGTGTATGTATGTATGTGTGTGTATGTATGTGTGTGTATGTGTATGTGTGTGTGTGTGTGTCCAGATGAACACAACACCCCTGGCACTATCACAGCCTAGACAAACGGGGCTACATATACTAGAACACATATGATGATGCATCTATAAGCTATATGTACTATAAATATGCATCTATAAACTATATGTACTATGAATATGTATCTATTATCTATATGCAGCCTAGACGTACGGGGCTAAACATACTAGAACACACATGATGGCCACCCCAACTCATTCTACCAGCTTGCTAAGAGTGATACAGGTCGTGTGATGAGGCTTCGAACCTAAAACCTGGGCCACGGACAAGGCCCTGATAGTGCAAATTGGTTCTTAGGTGTATATGCATGCGTTAAATGATGACTGACTCACCTATCACGAAGAAAAAGATCTTGTGCGCATTCATCAGGCAGTATCGCGCCGAAGCAATCAGGTGCATGACCACGTAGAGGTTAGTCTGCTTGCCTACAGAGCGTGTAAGATGTGGTAAAAGGGTTAATGCAGACACAGCCGAGGGTGGTATCAGCAGACGACTCGCACGTGGGTAAATTTGAAGTTTGACACCACAGAGCGATGTGAAACATATATAAGTTAATATCTACGTTGTAGAATTTAACATCTACACTATAATCTAATATCTCAACTACAAATTAATATCAGTAGTATAGATTAATATCTACACTATACAATGATTTCTATAACAACAATTAATATCCACTTGACATTGAAGGTGTCATAAAAAAGTATTGTTTGACCCACCTATAGCCAGGGAACAACCGATATTGTTCAATTCCGCAGATAAAGCCAATACGGGTACATCCGCCTCCTGCAGACACGCACAAAGAGGTAATAGTTTCACAAGAAGACAGCAATTCGTGTGTGCATACAATCGGGCTGATTATACACCGAGGCTAACGGCGCTATAGACAGATCCAAGCATATCGTTTGCTTGTGATCGCTTATTGTCTATTACTAGGGTTCGTGCGGGTGATGTCTTCAATGGAATGCCGAGTACTGGTATCAGGCTTCAGTATGTTCCGATATGGGCAGGTGGTCCGGTAATTCGAGGCTTTCGAGTGCTGTGATATTGTGCTATAGTACAGCTCGATAGTCGTCCATTGCACTTTGACAATGATGCATATAACAAACCATTAGCTTACACATACAAAGTACACACACAGCACCTGCACCCCAACTTTCTCATACACGATGTTGTACTATGTGTGGTGGTCGTAAGTATAGGCAATGGCTCGTATCTCATAGCGAATGGTATTGTCTCCGCAATGCAGTGCAGCTGAGTGTGTGATGAAAACACGGGCAATTCGTATCGATTCGATGAACCGCAAACGAACCGCACAAACGTTTGGCCCATCCTCTGCGGCTTCGCAACACACCACTTGTAATGATACATCGGATATAAAGTACAGAACTTTCACCTTGGGTGATCTACGAGGCTCTTATAAATCAAACATTAGATGCAACGGGGCTAGGGTTTTAGTTTGGACAGCCCTCTAACCCTTAAAAAAAAACATTACTAGGGTATACAACCCTAAACCCTAAAATATTACCTGGTAGAATCGGACGGTTTGCATCATGGTCTGGATTGTGTTCAGCGTAGCGTTCGCAAGATCGGCTGCGGAGAGGTAATATGAGATCAATCAAAATTTTAACCCCCCNCCCCACCAACCAAACCAACGTACGT